AAAAAGTAAAACATAGCTTGAATGACTTTCTCAGTGAATGCAGGCTAAACGTGAAAAACAAACAAACTGCAGTGAACCCTCATTATAGTTATTGAGACCACCATAGGGTTATCTAACATTTCTGCAATGAAGGACAAAAGTCTTGGGACAACTATACAGTTCTAACTCTTTTCAACAGATGCCAAATAAACATCATGCATGACTAACCTGAATTCACCTCCCCTCACCCCACAGACAGTGTAGAAACCGTCAGGCCGCAATATGCTGCTTAATTCCAAGTTTCAAAAATCCTCACTTTCAAAATGAGGCCAGCAACACAACCTTTCTTGTGAAAATGAGTTTGATTTGCCTGAGAATGACAAATCATTTCCATTTAAAAGGCTGAGCACTTAACCTCATTTTGATACAGAGGCCTGGGGTAACTCAGAAATGGCTATTTCTTTGATACTTCAACATTGTATTGAAGACTTGCATAATGATGGCGGTGTGACGGGACTGTTACTTAGATGTCTATGCCAGTAAGTTGCACGTGGCAGTGACCAACTCGAAAGCCTAAGCTCCTTTGGTCACTGCACTCCTTTCACCTTTGATAATTGATGTAATTTTTGGTTTTGTTTCCTCTTACTTTTGTAATTTATTGTATTTGTTTTACTAACCTTTTGAAATAGTGCAAAACAAAATATAAAATCTGAAATCTGAATTGGGTGGAGATTGGGGAGGAGTTGATGGTTTTTTTAAAGGGTAGTATTGCTTTTCCGATCATTGTGATTCACATCAAACTTCTGTTATGCTTGTACTGTCCCAATGACTTTTTTCCAGGATTGTAGATAAGGGGTGCATTTGATTGGGAAATCTGGATTTAGATTTTAAAATCCGGATTTCGAATTTGCCATCGAACGCGAAATCCGAAAACGGATTTCAACGATGAGATATCTGTTTTTGGATTTTCATTTTTACTGTTCGATTGGGAAATCCGAAAAAGGATTAATGAAAAACTGTCCTTAAGAACAGCGGTCTTGCATGCGCACGCATACTTAGCAAAAAGAAGACCACTGTTCGCAAGAATAGTTTTGCAAATCCTTTTTTGGATTTCCCAATCGCCGGAATGGTAAAAAGGAAATCCATGAAATCCGGATTTGGAATTCTTAATTGAAATCCACCCGAGGGCGGATTTCTTGGAGGTGAAATCCGTTTTCGGATTTCATGTTCGATTGGGAAATCCGGATTTAGATTTTGAAAATCCAATGCACCTAAGGAAACAGGGCTTTGCTCTAGCATTCCCCCGTGGCTTCTAGCACCTTGCTTTTCCTCATGGGCGACTATAGGGAATCATACTTGTTTTTAATAAAGAGCAAATGCACTTTATTTCAGTGCAGTGAGCTCCCTTTTAATTTTCTTAAAGAACAGCACAACTTTGGAAAATTACTGGGATTTTTAACATTCAGTCTTGAGAGAATATGGTTGTAATTATATAAGGATGCTTATATTAATGGGGAACTTGTAAGGTGTGATTCCACTGCAAACATGGCCCGGTTGTTACACTTAAGCAATGCTGTTCCTTTAATTTGTAAAAATGTAACATTTCATAAGGTTTTTTTCAATCACTTTTATTTGTAGCCATTTGCTGGCACAAAAAATATGCACCCAGTCCGCTACTGTCATCTACAGATCCAAATTAAAATGTAAAACATCATGACCCACTACTTAACTTTCAAATATATCACAGATCAAAGAAGTTTTTTACTAAGTTTAAAAAGTGAAAAAGAAATATACCGTAAGACCCACTTGAATCAAAAGTGGTTTTAATCTCTTCAAAACACAAGGGACATGCATCCTTATCTCCAGTGCTGGGCTTCTTTTGGCCAGCATCAAAGATCAAGAGCTATTGCTGGGGCTGTAACCTGAAGTTGGCAAATCATTGACTTCTGGCTTTCTGTCCCGTGTCAGAAATTTCAAACAATCAACGTTACGAACGGTTACAAAAAAGGGAAGCTACTGTGCTTGTGTGTAAATCCTGGTCCCATGGCCAGCCAGAGCTTTTGATCAGAGGAGCTAATGGTCCACAAGGATTGCAGCTCTGGGGATAGGAATGGCACATGTAAAGATGCACAACAATTGTTCAGACTTGTTAACTTTGTTTGTTGCTTTTGAGCTATAAACCCAGCAACGAGACAACTCAGGCAAAGGCAAACAAATAAACCAAAACCAGATGATCAAAGAAGAAAAAAAGAAAACTGACAAACAATGACTGTAAAAGAGAAAGCTTTTGCATGCAAAATGAGTGAGGATAGAGAACACTGTGCTCTTTCAAGAATAAATTATATAAGTATTCAATATCACTAAGTTTGAAGGCCTTCATGCCCTGGCAATTATTATGAATGCATTTAGCACATCCTACAAATCTTCAATTGAAACTTTAAGCATCTAAGGAATTGCATGTATATCTCTATATGGTCTGACCAGTTTGACCTAAATCATTGTACTAAAACTTAACTTAGCGCTTGCTATTTCTTTCTATTAAAAAAGTAAAAACAAATAGAAAACTAATAAAAACAAAACTGATTTTTTTTATGGTATTTAAAAGATTGAATATGACCAACAGAACTACTGTTAAGCATTAATGTTTCTATTTTTACAGGCTGGGTGAGACAAAACTATAAGGCAGCTTGCCTATGAGTCAAGGCCACACTTAGGAAAAATAGCTACATGTAACAAATCCAAAATTTGTAATTTGGGAAGTACTGATGAATATTATCGGCCGTGTGCTAATTACAGCGGTTACCACTAACAAGTGCCCTCAAAGGCTTTTCTCTTTGCGGTTTGGTGGACATCAATCAACTGTTATCATAGTTTTCACACGTTGGCCAAAAGAAAATTCTTTCCTTGTTTCTTGAGCACTTGGAATAACATACTGGCATTTCATCTTAATTAAATAATTAAAAACACAGTTGTCATTCTAAATTATTCTTGTAAGCCTTCGCCTTTCATTCAGCAATGAGGGAACCTTCTCTGTCAGAGTGAGTGAGAAAACCATGGAAAACAGTTGATTGACGTGCACGAAAACTCAGGTTTCAACAGGGAGAAAAAACTCTTTGAGGGTGCATGTTAGTGGTAACCGCTGTAATATGTCAACTGAATTCCATGACTATTTGTTAAAACTTCGAAAAAACTCAGCTTCTCATCATTTATCAGTTATTTAGAATACTAGAAAACTGTTAAATTTATTATTATTATTTTCTAGGTAACATAGTTATACATTGTGTGGTTAACAATACAGTCTAAGCTCCCTTAAGCAGACAGCCACCAGAATAAAAAAATCTCAATTGCAGGAGAGAGTTTAAACAGAGAGTTAAATGGGGTTTTGTCAAGGCGGCATGTTGAGAGTGTCTGCATTGAGAGCTTTGATTACATGTAAAAGCACAGTAGCACAAGTAAGATAAAATGCCACTAAACTAGCTCATATTTATTGTTACGCTGAAGACTGCTAGCCAAGCAACAAGACAGTGCCACACCAATAATCTGTAACAAAAGTAAGATGAAATTTTAAAATTACAATAATTATTTATGAGTCTACTGTCATCAAGAATAAATTATTGTAATATCATCAATAAACAATGACCGGGCTCCTAACCAAAACTGTTTGGGCATAATAATTATGCCCTTCTATAATTATTATAGAAGGCTCAGAGAACAGTCAGCAAAAGTTCTAAACACTGACAACAACAACAACTTTAACAATAGCCAGAGGTGATACATGTATTTACACATATAAACATGCCTATAAGATTTTTTTAGCTTAAGCTAGTCAGTAATATGGGGATTATACATAACATTTTTCTCCATAGAATATTTTTCAATGCTGACATCTTTTTATAATAATTATTATTGATTTGGAAAAATAATTAATGTCCTGTCTGGGTGACCACCATTCTCCTGACTCTAAACAGTAGAGATTACCCGGTATGTATACTTTTTGAAATCAAGGCTAACATCCGTAGATGTATAAGAAGCTCATCCAATGCTTTGTTTACAAGTATTAATATATTCTTGGTACTGGTCTCACCTGAAACAATGCAATCCCCAGAGCTGTAGCTCCAATGATCAACAATTTATCTTCAAAGAAATTTACTGCAGCATCATAGCAGCCCTGCAAAAAACAAATTAAGACATATGTAAACTGAAAACATTTCACCCACAAACTCAGGAGAAAAACCTTGAAAGAAAACTTTTAAAAGACTCCTAAATTTGATTCCATCTATTAGTTTGGACAAACTTCAAGAGGCCAGTCAGGGTTTGAAACTGTATCCAAGCAACAGGCAGTGCGATTCATGCCAGATTTACAATGCAAAAGGCTAGTAAGTTAACCCTTTAAGTCCCAATGGTGACCAACATCAATTTTCTCCTAACAATATCCATACAATGTCAAGAGATTAGGTTATGAGAATTAATAAAATGATCACCTAAGAGAAAATGCTTTGATCTTTTATCAAATTCTCTCAACTCATTCTTTAAGGAAATGTATAGAGATCAGTTTGGAGAATTTGCATTTTGATATTGGGGCCTAAAGGGTTAAAGGAAGGCTCTGTTAGCAGATCGAGAGGCAGTGAATGGGCTAAATCACCAAAAACAATCACTGGATCATACCTTATCATAAATTGTGCCTGGATGAGTGGTCACGTTCTTATTGCAATTGTCTTCTTCTTTCACACAGCACGATTTAGGAACTGAAAAATTTCCAACCTCTTCTGAACTCCAGTCTCTGTAAAACCAGTCAGTGTAGTTTGCACTTCCGCAACAATGCAGCTATCACAGAAAATCATAAACTCTTAGGCTGTCTATATATTGTTACAATACGTCAGTGCCACCTTATTGATTTTAGAAGGACTGCATCAACGATTATAGTAATATTTTTATTTAAGATGCACATGTCACTGTTAACGAAGCAAGTAAATCAAACCTTTGACTGAAGTCCATCCCAGGCATCTGTGAATCCCTTTTCTTTGTAGTCATCAAGTGCGGCTTCAAGCCCCTTACTGAATCCACTCTTGATCTGCAAACAGATTTGTTAAGAATTACGGTAAACACTGGTAGGACTGTGTTAGGTGAGTTAACTGGTTGCAAATACAAAATTTAATGTCTGTTAACATGTTAGTAATAATCAGGTGTAGAACGAGAGACTCACTGAAACTTGTTTTGTTGGTTGCTATCATGATCTCTTCATCCAAACATATAATTATATATATATAAGACATTAATTCGAGGAGGCAGTGTGTCAGACTGAACCGTCAGAAATCTAGAAAAACTTGCAAACTCAGGAACCCTAAATAGTCCCACCCTGTCCTGTTTCTGGAGTTGCTCTTGGTGCAAAAGGCCTGCATAAATTTCTCAGGCCACTCTTGCTAAAGGAACTACTGGTAGGCCTTCAGCAAGATGGGATTCATAACCTTGTTCTATATGTCCTTTAAATATTATTATTTGCTAGGTCCCATCCCCCTACCACCCCTTCGTCTAAGCCTTTCAGGGCTCAAAATTAATGGTAACCTGTTAACCAACAGTTATTACGCGTAGTTTCCAACGTTTTGTTACTAAAAATGGGCCTTAGTAGCCAAACAAGGTCAGTACAAATTTTCTGTCTCAGAAAATCATCTTACATGTGTTTCATTTTTGCATATGAGATGGTGTTCTTTCTTGAACAACTTATTGTTCTTACAGCATAATCGAACACACGAAAAACATGCATTTCACATACTAAAGGTAACCAGGCTTTTATTGAATGGGGAGATCTGGGCACAGCCTTAATATATCTCTGCCATCTTGATTGTTTCTATGTTTGTTTTGTTTTCTTTTGCAAGTGGCTCGTCTGTTCTATTTATTATACAGATCAGATGCAGAGATCCTTGGATAGTTTTTTTTCCACAAAAAGGTCACTGCCCAAAATTTGTGAAGAGGAAATGGAAGATCGAGAAAAACAACAAAGAAAAAGTAGTTTCAAACACCATGCAAGACTACTGGAGAGGGTGTGAAGAAGAAAAGAACAAGGAAAGAACTTTTCCCAAAAGTTGAAAAAAACATTCACCAGGCTGCAGTTCAATGAGTTTAAACAAAAATTGTTTTGCACTGTTTATCGTGAATTCCAGCCCTCACATAATGTATTTTCGAAAGAAAATGTAAATGAGCATTACATCGTCTATATAAATCTATTTCACTTTACATATCATAATTAACCAATCCATCCATACACTAGTTTGCCCCATTTATTAGCACCATTTTCAACAGTAACATATTGTTATTCCAAGAACAGATTCTTGGATAATTAAATTTATCATTGGGTTAGTAAAATTTATGCCTACTAACTCGAAGGGTTAGTTACCAAAAGTTAGTTACCTTATGGCGGAAAACGTAACCTGTGATTGATCCACCAAGTTCAACCAGGAAAAGTATGCCAAGAATCACAGCAAACTGAAAGATCAAAGTTTGCTATTAAGTAATAAAATGTCCCAGTTATCCAAATAACATTGTATATAATCATAACTACTACAATTTCCTCAAATTTGAATGGTGCATTAACTGCTTCACTTTTCAATAATTATTGTGCAAAAGTTGTAACAGAACTGTGTAATCAGATCATTGCCTGTAATTGGACAGTTACATCAGTCAATCATATTTAAAGTGCACTCAGCTAAATCCACAAATCACAGAATCTATGACAATAACCATAGCAACAACCACTTACCCTACCAAGCAGGGGATTTTCCAAAATGGACAAATTTGTAACATTAGAGTGTCAGTGTCTCTGCCAGTGATATTTTCCCTTATTCTGGATAATTAGTATTAGAAGCTCTTTCACAAAAAAAGATTGCATTCAGTGTTTTCTTGGAAATTGTAATGGTTATGATTAATTGGTAACAGGACTTAATTGTGTCATCCAATTTGGTCGCAGTCATACTCGTGATTAACAAATCGGACTTTCACTACACTGTTGTCCATTTTTGTTTATAAATCACCCATACAATTACAAACCTAACTGGATTCCAATCAGTTCTATTACCATGTTATATTTAAGCAATAGAAAACGTTTACCGTGTTTGCATAGCCTGATATAAACACGAGAGGGGTTGGGAGAATTCGAGACAGTTATACAAACCCGAGACGAAGTCGAGGGTTTGCATAACTGTCGAGAATTCTCCCAACGCCTCGAGTGTTTATATCAGGCTATGCAAACACAGGAAAAAAAGTTTTCTATTGCTTTTATAAAATAACTTTCCCGAGAAAAAAACGCAGAACTCTTTGTATGGCTCTGATTAAAAGAGAAATTCTTACCAGTCGCAAAATCTTGTCCACGAAGACTTGCACGCGTAGTCAGTTCTTGTTTTGCAAAAAGATGCTTTTCAAAATACGGATTTTTCTCGCTTAAAATGTCAGCTTAAGCGAAGAAAAATTGACACACCTTCTTTGTAACGATTTTCCAAGTTTCAGCCGACGAAGGAATGGGTAAATAAA